TCCTCAGCGCACGCTCGACGATCGGGTCGATGAAGTCGTTCGCGGCGGTGAGGTGCCGCCTGACCTCGTCTGCGACCATCTCCGTGAGCGGCCACGACTGCAGGAACCGCCCCCGGAACTCCGGAAGCGCAAGTTGCCCAGACTGTAGACACGACCGTTGGATGACCGTACACTGGGGACAGGGCTCCGTTGGTGCCCAGAGCTCGTCCCAAGAGCCTCCTGCACTGCATCGGCGGTTGCGTCTTGAGAGAGAGGGACGTCTTCGAGTAGATTCGGAGCCCGTCCCACACCCCGAGCATTGCAGCAAGTACTAGTGGGCGCCTAAAGTGTTCGAACGCCCGCATTAGGTGCTCTTGGTGCAGATATTGTAACACACGAATCTTGCTCACAAGTAAGGGTTAGTCAGAACATGTAGCCACATAGTGTAGACAAAAATCTGAGCTCATAGTATATGTGAAGAAAACTGTGTGCAACAGTCTCTAGCTGTCTGGAGAGCATGAACTCTTGGTAAGGTACTTTTCTCCTTCCTGCCCCAATAAGTCTGTAAGGGCCCATTGAGACAACCTCACAAATATACCCACAGATAGTTCAGAGCTTGCTGTCTGCACCATATAGAACAAGGGATCTGAAGAGGACTACCAGGGGAGTTATCGTCAGTGAAACTTGCCGGATGAACAGGCGTAATGTACATGGTTTTGCTTATGCAGTCTTAGTCGTTCAAGTAATGTATACAGACACACATTGTCCACTGCATGCATGACTACTGCCCTCTCAATATTCATTGATACTGTTAGCAGTTTGGTAGCAGCCCTTGAAAGACTGAATTCAGGACAAGTGATGTTCCATATGCAATTATATCAATCCATCTCCCATGTTTCTCAGGCGATAGCTCCCTCAGACTTTCTTGGTCCATCCCACCATTCATATATTACATGCAGGGGTCTCTAAGGTCCCCATTCCAAATTTTATGAGATCATCTCAGCAAGTTTGGACAGTACTTATAAGGGCAGGGATGGGAAGGGTGGATTTTGTACACCTCAGATAAAGTTAATACTTTACAGAATGCCAGAGAGTGAACCATACAGTGTCACCCATATATACTAGAAGCTCAGATGCCTGTCTACCATATGCACTGAAGGGCTTTGATGTTTCTTGTGAAGTAATCAAGATATCAATATTTCATTATGCCCTCATGGTACACCTAACCCGAGGTGTTCGAACACTTTAGGCGCCCACGAGTACTGTCAGTATAAGCCGGCGTGACTACGGAACCATTTGGCGAGTCTACGCGCAACATGGCGACATGGACCTTTGGTACTTATCAGCGGAGCTCGGGTGCCGCGAGACGTCTCTGAACGGGTGGTAAGTACGCGGGCCAGGATCGCTGCGCACTAATCGAGTTAACCATCCGCACGTGTGCGCGTAAGACTCGGGCGAGCCGGGGGGTCGCAAGGGTCGCATGCTAGCGAGTAGTGCAACTGATGGTCGCAGCGCGACTGTTCGCCGGCGCGTGGAGACCGGGTTGCTTCGAGGAGCAGACCGGACAACCGTCAGCGTGTTTGCTTGCGGCTGCAGGACATGTTGCTCATCACTCGGTCCAGGACCTGGCTGCACACGCTCAGTGGATCTGGTCGGACGAGGGGAGAGAACTGTATTTGTGTGTGGGAGCACGGCCACAGACGAACGGAACAGGTACGTACGGACGGAGTCTCGCATCAGAAAGCAGGGCTTAGCCATGCGCGTGCGAGAAATCAGACAGCAACGCGACACCGGCTGAACGGCGAGTGCCCGAGCAGACCGTCGGATAGGAAGACGGGCGGGTTGGTGTTCGCTGAGCCGGTCGGCGGAGCACGAGGACCAAAGAACAGGCGCACCTCTTGCGTATATAAGCTGAGCGCGGTGCATGCTTGCTCTGCAGTCGTTGCGCTCCCTTGCCCACTGCTCGTACTAGTCGCCTGTGCGATTTACGCCGCTCGTCGCTGCTCGCGCATTGCGGAGAGTTTCTCCCGTACTCGCGCTGTCGGGGTCCCACGACGCCATTCGCCTGCTCGCAGACTTCGTCGTCAAGCGGCGCGTCAGGAAGAGGTACGTGCCGATGCCGGACTTGGCGGGGGAACAAGGCTGACGATCGTGTGCACAGGGCAGGCGGGAGAACGAGCGCGGGGGCGACATGAGGAGAGCAGAGGACGTACCTTACGATGTACCTTACTCGCTGTATGCGTCCATACGAGGATGGAGCTGGGTCGGACGGCGGATGGGGTGACTCCGCCGGTGAGGCATGTCGTCTTCGCATATAATGTGAGCTACTGGGATGGAGACGGCGCGCTGCAGGTGATAACCGGTTGGGGGCCAGAGGGGGACGCGACGGTGACGGACGATGGCGCAGCGGGCGTCGGTTTGAGATGCAGAGCAGAGAGATCAGAAGGGCAACTTGACGTGCGGCGGCGGAGAGAGAGCGCGCGCGAGAGGAGAGCGGCGGTGCTTGACGAGCGCAGACAGACGGAGGGAGGAGTGGCAGGTCGTGGCCAGGGAACACGTCGCAACGCACGTCCACGCAGGCGAGCCCCGGAGTCGTCCTCGGCTCGGCCCGGGCATTCCGGTGCCTGCGCATAGGGCGACATCGTGCAGGCGGCGAGTGACATCACCTCGTCCTCCCCCTTTCGCGCTCCAAGACGCACGGCGACAGAGTCTTGTACCCAGCATGCGCGCACTAATCTTGTTTTCGTCTCTGTTCTATCTCCCCCATCCCCCAGATACCCGCCGTCCCTGTCGATGACCCGCTCGTCGAGCAAATCCCTCCCCGAGCTCCCGACGACCGTTGCGTCCACCTCGCCCGACGGCAACACGGGCAGGACGCGTCGCTCGTGCGCGACGAACAACTGCATCCGGACTACAGTAACCCTCCTCGTCTTCGCCGCGTACTTCGCATGGGCGTGGCCGTGGTACCGCGAGCATTGGGCCGACGCGACGAGGGAGCTCGAGGTCGAGTTGGGCCCGGAGAGACATCGTGCGCCCCCGTTGGGCGTGCCCAAGTCGCTGCAGACCAAGTGGGCGCAGTACTCCCCGTGGCATCCGCTCGTTGACTACTCTGCGCCGCCTGCGGGCTGCGAGATTAACCAGGTCAACATCGTGAGTAGGCACGTCGCATCCATCCCCACCCCACCGCTCATCCTGGCGAGCCACCTCAGCTCCAGCGACACGGCGCAAGATACCCCAATGCCGACGATGGCGAGCAGTACAGCCGGGCGGTCGAGCACATAACCTCCGCGGAGAAGTTCGCGGACAAGCGCCTCAAGTTCCTGGAGGACTACGAGTACGAGCTCGGTGCCGATGACCTCGTCCCCTTCGGTGCTGCCCAGTGCGTGCTGGCCCTGCGAGTTGTGATCAACCATCTGACATGTCGGCAGGTCGTTCGAGGCCGGGGAGATTGCGTTCAAGAGGTACGCGAACCTCGTCAACTCGACTGAGATTCCGTTTGTACGGGCGGCGGGTGCCCCGAGGGTCATCTCCACTGCTACAAATTGGACCGTCGGTGAGCCACCTACAATCTCTGCACACATATCAACTGGGCTGACAGATACCAGGATTTGCTGCTGCCAGTAGCCAGCGGTATCAGCCCTATCTGAACGTCATCATCTCCGAGGAGGTACGTCGTGCGGCCTACATTCATCCGGCGCCATTGCTCACCTCCACCCCAGTACAACAACACTCTGAACCAAGACTGCCCGAACGCAGAAGACGGGTCGCGCGAGATCGGCATCTGGCTGTCCATCTTCGGCCCGCCGATCGCTGCACGACTCAACAAAGCAGCACCGGGCGCGAGACTGAACGCGACGCACGTCTTCCACCTGCTCGCGATGTGCCCGTTCGAGTCCGTCGCGAAAGGGACGATGAGCCCGTTCTGCTCGATGTTCTCCGAGGACGACTTCCGCGCGTTCGAGTACTACGGGGACCTGGAGAAGTACTACAAGACCGGGTGCGTGGGCTGTTCTCCTTCTTCCGGCACGCTGAACTGACTCGACCGCGTTTCTGCAGGTACGGAAACCCGCTTGGAGCGATCCAAGGCGTCGGCTACGTGAACGAGCTGCTCGCGCGCCTGACGAACGAACCCGTGCAAGACCACACGACGCACAACTCCTCGCTCGAGTTCCCGCTCGGCCACAAGATCTACGCGGACTTCACGCACGAGAACCTCATGGTCGCCGTCTACGCCGCGCTTGGGCTCTTCAACGTCTCCGAGCCGCTCGACCCGCGCAACATGCCGTCCGACGACGCCTTCTCGTTGTCCGGAGACGAAGCCTCGAGGTGGAACGCCCCGCTAGCGCACTTGAAGGAGAAGCGCGGGGAGCGGACGTGGGTCGCGTCGCGCATGGTGCCGTTCTCGTCGCGGATGGCCACGGAGCGCATGACGTGTGTGCGGGACGGGCGGAAGGGCGAGTACGTGCGCATCCTCGTGAACGACGAGGTGCAGCCGCTCGAGTTCTGCGGGGGCGGGGAGGAGAAGATGTGCACGCTGGACGACTTTGTCCGGAGCCAGGGGTACGCGAGGCGGAGCGGCGACGGGAACTTTGCGAAGTGCTACAACTGATCGATGTCCGATGACCGTGAAGGCGAGGATTCTGGAGACTCTGGAGGTTCGTTCGGTGTACTAAGGAGTCCGCGTTGATTCCGGGGGCATAACTCGTATGTGGCTTGCTTTGTGCTGAGTTCTTCTACTATCTGTTTTCTTCTGCTTATACGTAGTATCTCATGTTGCGTCTTCGTTGCTCTGTTTACTTAATTTATCCATACTCTAGCCTCCTCTATCCACCCTCCGGTCATATGAAGTGATGGTTGCTCTCCCACAACGTTCCAACTTCTCTAGGCGAATCCGGAAGCTACGCTGGCTTGTCCGCCATCCCACGCAACACCGACAACTCCAAGTAGATCTGCTGCTACGCATGCCATTGCAGCAGGAAGGCTAACCTGGGACTGCCAAGAGGTGGGCCGGCGCAAAAAGTCGTCAGCTGAGCGATTCGAACACTCGCGTGCAATGCACAACCGCTCATCTACGTCGGGGAGTAGCAGGCGATCCCGTTAACCACTCCGGCAAACTGACGCTCTGGGGGCGACGTCAACGCGGTGCCGGATGACGCGACTCTGCCAGCCCAATGGACGCGTCTCGTCACATAAGTAGCATGTGCTGTCACCGTCACCGCTGTTGAGGCCTTGAGGCCTGAGCGTGCTGGCTTCGACCCAGTGAGTCGCTACCTCTTCCAGTCTTCCTCTCACAGCGGCCCCCGAGGCTATTGGTCAATCGACTGCTCTCACTCACTGAAAGCATCTCTCGGTACACGCTCGAACTTGTCCAAGTTTCGTACTCGGATGGAAGCCTTTCGGATAGCCTGGGTCCCCAGACCATACAAGCAGAAGTCGCCTTGGCTTTGGATCCTGAGCTGCTTGACACTCAGGCAGTCTGCCTTCGACCCTCCTTCAACAGCGTTCATTGGGCAATGGGGCACATAGTATCGTACAAGGACTACAAGAAGATGAGATCGGCACTTCATCACCCGCGAATTTCGGAGTAAGTGGGCGCGATAGTCTCTATAGGACCGACTCCGCCGTCGAAGACGCCGTCTATCGAGAGCTGCAGCATCGGCGAGACCTCGGTGTCCTCCAGCGCCCACAGCGCGACCGCAACAGTGCTGTCCGAACGCGGCTCAGTCAATCAAGCAACAGGGTAGAGGAGAAGACTATAGCACCCACTTCTCGCCGTTGTACTCGAGGATGCCCTGAGGCACCGGGAACCTGGTCTGCGGGCCGACGTTCGCCACACGCTGGGAGCACATCGCAAGGTCAGCGTCCCGTCCACAGACAATATCGCATCATGTCTTGCTCACCTTGCCGTACTGCCAGCCGTTCACGAACAGCAGCGCCCTGTACGGCTGCTCGTTGAACGGCTCAAACTGGAAGCTCAGCTGGATGTCCATGCCGGTGGGCAAGTCGAGGTCGAACGTCGTCACGAAGAATCCAACACCGGCACCGCCGCTCGGCAGGCCTTCTGAAAGGTCGCGAGGCTCCCAGCTTGAGGTGTCGAAGCCAGGGAGGTGCCATCCCCGGCGCTCGCCGTACAGTCCGCCCTCGTTAAGCAAGCCACGGACCTTGTCAGGGTAGCTGTCCCCGTATCATATCAGGGTTCAGTCACGATCGGCCCAGTGGGGACCCGGGCAGCGCACCTCAGATACCCGCCAAGCTTTCCTTGGACTCTCCAGATCGTGAAGTTGCCACCACCGACGAGGTCGAATCCGGCGATCCCGCGCGTGGACTTCTCGTTGTCGTCCTCATCAAGACCCATGTTGTCCTGCAAGACAGTCACGACGTTGTCCTGGCCTGCAACGACGGAGCCTTCGGGGAACCTGAACAGCTGGTTGGCTCCTTCGTGCGGGCTGTACACAGTGCCAGCGAACTTGTCGTTGATCCACACGGACGCTGCGAACGCTTGAAGGCTGTCAAGAGCTGCACGCGGACGAGAGCGATGGGCACTTACATTCGCCGCCATAGATGGTCAAGTTAACGGCCGTCTCCGATCCGCTAGCATCGAAGTGCCCTCGCCACAGAACATTGTTCTCGCAGCTAAATCGGGTCCTGAGTCACGAACCAGAGCATGCAAACATATGTTACTTACTATCCATAGTCACAGCCGTACAGCACGCGCCCGTCACCGAACAGCGGCTTCACGTTCAGATTCGTGCTCGTCTTGTTGGCGACAACCCAGTCAGAGTCGTCGAAGTCGGGTTTGATCTCCGGCAGGCTGTCGGCATACTTCCAGTCCTTCAACGCCGGCAGGCTAATGCCATCCTGCAAGTGAACACTCGCAGCGACATGAGCTTGGAGCATGCCGCTCCCATGCCCCATCGTGTCGACGAGTTCTCCATTCCACGTCACCGCGGCGACGTTAGACGGCGCGAACACCGTAAGCAGGGCAGACACGTTGAGGTCGCCGTGGAGCGCAAGAACGCCCTCCGATATAGTCGCGTTCCGCACGAGGTACGGTCCACCCACGAGCACGGTCGTGTTCGTGCCGAATTGCCAGAACGTCTCCAAGCCCTTGATCGTGTTCGGCGTCTCGTCGCGGACGGGCGGAGCCCAGAACGTTGCAGCGGTGACGGAGTCGGCGTAGAGGATGAGCAGCGACGTCGTCTCCACGACAGTGATGAGACCCACAACGCCTGGTAGGACCGAGGCAGTACCCTTGCCACGGGTACTGCTCACCTGGACACGCGAAGACAGGTTTGAGGAGACGCGCGCCCCTGGTGGCAGGAAGAAGGCAAACTCGTGCGACTGAGTAGACGAGCCGTAGAGGAAGACAACGTCGCGCTCCCCGATCTTGCCTGCGAAGTAAATGGATGCCGTGGTGTAGAGGAGCCGGCCATCGGTGCCGAAGTGGTAGTCGGTCACTATGATCTTGCTCTGCCTTCCATCGAGCGCGATGCTATCGGTCGTGAGCGGGATGGTCATTGAGCCCTCCGAGGTAGGCATAGTCACTTTGAATGTTATGTTCGCTCTACGCCAGTGTCAATGACGTGCATTACGTCGAGAGGGCAAGAAACGTACGTGGAGGTAGAGTCGTTCTGGCGCACAATCAGGAAGTTCGTGCCGCTATCAGAATTGGTGAGTAGAGTTCCAAACGCATCCTTATTGCTGATGGCGACTCCAGATATGCCGGTGCTGGAGTCCCCGATCCAGTCCGTCTTGCGGAACTCCGGCGATGAGCGAATGAACATGTTCTGGCGTTTGAGCTCGTCATACTTGTCGGACAGCTGGCGTGTCTCCCGGATGGGCGAGCCGTAGTCGTAGCTGGTGTATACTCCGGGAAAAGCGATGCCGCCCCAGTTCGTGCCCCTGATGATGAATCAGAGTTAAGGCAGAAGCTCCGCTTGATAGATGTTGCGTACCCATAGATCATGTAGTACGAGATCAACTTCATGTTCGCTGCATAATTATGCTTGTAAAAGACGTCCTCGAAATCAGGACCGGTCAAGAGCGCGCAGGCGTCGTATCCTGGTCCACCCCAGGGGTCAAATGCGCCGGCCTGGTACTCCGGCATGTACCAAGGCTGACTTGGATTCACTCTTGTGTGGTACTCGTGATAGTTGGTCGCGACAGGATACCATGTCTTTGGATCCGAGCAGTCGAACCGCTGAGGATAGGCATCCATCCCATAGAGGTCAACCGCGCCCGTTCCGTTGATGAAGCTCTCGCGTTCGTTCGGATCGTTGTAAGTCCTAAGAAGAATCACGTCAGAGAACAAATTGCTGGGGGCACTGCGGCCACTCACAGAGGGACGACAATGCCCCCCTTGCGGTACTGTTTCTGTAGATGATCAAAGTACTCTGCGTGGGTAGGTTTCTGATCGTATTCGTTGTCTGGAGCAAGGCAGCTGAGCTTGTATGGAGAAACCTAGCGCGAGGCATCGGAAGACCTACCAATCTGAACAGCGACGATAGGCCCGCCATTGGTTACTTGATAGGGCGCGGACTCCCTAGCGATGGCGTCAATGTACGGTATGTACGCCTCAGTAAAGTCGGTCGCATTCGTGCGAACGGTCCCCGCTATTTCAGAGGTGAGCCAGTGGGAGAGACCTCCGGCCGTCGTCTCCGCGTTGATCTGCCCGGGGTCAGCACCGGCGGACATCAGAGGCGTTCAGTGTGATCTCACGTAAGGTCCTGTTCCCAGGATTGATCGGTCAGCATATTGACAGCGGTGCGCAATGAATGGAAGCCCCACCAGGACGCCAGACAATGAAGATTCCTGCCAGCGTAGCAGCGTCGAAGATGGGTTTGAGCGCACGCCAGTCGTTGAAGTCGATCACTCCAGGTGCAGGATTGGTCAAACCCACTACCATGACGTCAACGAGTGTGGGTCAGAAGATCACAGGCTAAACCAACTGTGTATATAAATGCTGAAGGTCAAGAAGTTAGCATAACTCATGTAAGTGATACCACGGCCATACCTGACGTGGTTAAGACCAGCTGCGACCATCTTCTGAAAGATATCAAGCCAGAGCTCCTGAACAGGGAGCCGGTGTTGAACTTACTATGGACTATGGACATTAGTTGCGCATTAGGCGCTATGGGCACAGCCTCTTACGATTAGATCTTAGGCTATGCTTCTTCCTTTCCTTTTAGGGTATGTTGTACGAAACCATGTGGTTACCTGGCTTCTCTTTGTTTCCAGTCCATTCCAGTGCGTTCTGCAACGCTCCGGACCTTTCTAGTTCTTTCTAGATATCTCTGGGCTGTACTAGACATGCCCTTGTGACCTCGTATTTGTCGTATCTTCGTCATCCTTCGTCATCGTCTGAGTCATCCCTACTCGTTCTGACTCAGACAGCATTATGCTCTCCTTTCTGTCGCTTACTCATGCTACTCCAGACATAGTATATAAGGAGGGACTCTTGGGCTTCGTCTCCTCAGTCTTTTGCTCTACTGACTGAGGAGTAAGTACTCGCCTACCTATGCTTACTTATGCTTTACTTACAAGTACTTTGTAGCTCGTGTTATCCACTCGTCTGCTAGGTACTTGTGTCTATGCTATCAGTCTTTTGCTCTACTGACTGAGGACTCGTGTTATCCACTCGTCTGCTAGTCGTTGCGACTTGCCTTCACAGGTTCAGACTTCATCAGGTTATGAGCCCTGCGCTCTGACCGTTGCTAGTCGTCACTCTGCGCGCACCCTTTCTTCGACGACTCCTGCCCGTGCATTCCTCCACTAACTCCCTAGATCTTGACTGTGCCCGCCGACACTGCTACCAGGGGGACATTTCTGCGCTCGTGACGCAGCCCTGAGTGCTTTTATTAGCTAGTCATCGTATCTACTGTTGTACATCCTTTGGCGCTCTCGAGGCGTACAGGATTTCAGGCATCCCTCAGCCAGGCCGTGCACTTGCATCCGCCAGCTGTTGTATCCGGGGTGGTTAGCACCTTAGGACCGGAGGACAACCGTTCGGACCCTCCTTACGATACCACTTTTCAGTACGATACGTACCTAGTTCTTTCTGGGCACAGTTGGCAACTTCTACCCTCGGCATTGGCATACTCGGCTTGCTGGTGTTTGAGG